ATATATACATATTTGAATAAAGATGCAACAAGAAAGTTTTATTTAGTTTTGGCTGTTGCATCACAAAACAGTCATGTAAACAACAAAATACAAAAGAGATAGACAGGTGCTATATAAGTACAGTCCATTTATCATTCTTGCAGTCCCGTCCTAAACAGGAGGTGTCCCTACAGAGAAAAAACACTTCTGAGCTGCAGGACTTGCAGCAGAAGAAGAGTTTACCGGAAATACGTTTATCATAAATTAATGTATTTGCAGATGCATAATTCAGGCAGACAAGTAGGAACTGAATTCAAACCCATAAAACAAACAGCCGACACTGACAAGGCTGCAAAAGATACTAACAAATAAAATACTACAAACAACTATAGGTACAAGAGAAAGCCACTCGTAACCAGGAAGCTGACTAAAGGAAATATAAGGCTCTGACAACAGGGTGGAGAAACCACAAAGTGTATATAAATATGCTGGGAGGGGTGATTACCGAGTGAGTGCAGCTGTGTTGGTTAAAATATAAGGAGCAGGTGTATAAAGAGCTGGAGCTGGTCGAACTGAGGAGCAAGGAATACAAGGAGAAATAACCATGGATCCAAACACTAAATTAACGTATTATCAGGAATATAAAGGAGTGAACCCAAACAAAAGAACAGTTAACTAATAACTCAAACACCCTGACAACACACGTAACGCTCAAACGTCTTGCTGCAAGCCTGGGATTAAACGCACCGCAGAGGTTAAAAGCAATAATCTTGTTATCAATACAGTACATCGGCACACATTATAACCAATAATATTACACAACCCCACAACATTTTTTACCTCATGACTTCATTTATACACTTTGGTGAGTCAGATATATTTAGTCTGATGTCACCTTTCATCTTGTAGTGCACAGTAAAGATGCTTTATATGCATTTACTACATTTTATCATAATATGAAGCCTCTTTTATTTATTTATTTTCACCACAGCCAGCAAACTAACATGAAGATTTGGCAAAAGTTTTATGCAGGATACCCTTCCTGACGCAACCACTGAGCTACTGCCATCTAGGGCGCCCAGGGAAGCAGCTGTGGGGCTTTTAGGGGCAGCCCTGAGTGGGTCAAATGAGGGAGGCAGGTGTTTCCCATCTAAATTCTTGAGGATTCAAATGGTCAATTTCCTGATCGCAGGCCTTCTTTAACCTCTGTGCCACCACTCCCCTATATTACATGGAGTCTGAGAAGTCAGCTATTCACCAGTGGATTCATTTGCCGTCCTAATAAGAGCTCAATGAGAAAACCGATCCTGCTCTCAAAGCCTCTGTGTTGTATAAAACAGTAGCCAGGAGATAAGTTGTTCTGGAAACGGTCAGTAAACAGCTGCCCTGGTTCTCTTCACGCAGCAGAAAATGACAAATTAAACCCAGTGTTTCATTTTTTTAGCAAAACCTTCTTCAGAATACTCAGCCACTTTTAATTTTAAAGAAAGAAACGACTGGCACCTTGATTCAACTGCTTAATTTGTCTCATTTTAGAACGTTGATAGCTGCGATGCATTCTGACTTCAGGTACAAAACATGAATTAAACACGTAAGTAGCAATATGTTTCAATTCAATTAATTTTATCTATATAGTGACAAATCACGGCACAAGTGTTTCAGGTCACCGAACATTCACATACATACAATCTTAGGGATGCACGATATTGGATTTTTGGCCGATATCCGATATGCCAATATGTTAAAACTTATTTGTCCGATAACCGATACCAATACTGATTATTTTTTCCCCTAGATCTACATTCAGAGACTACATAGCTTTATCTGCTGTGGAATTAAAATACTACATTATTCTGCATGGTCTGTCAGTTTAACCTGCTACCAAATGCAGATGCCCTAAAGGGGGCTGAAAATGATGCAACATTTCAACTTGGATTATTTTAAATGTTAATTTTAGTCATGACATTTACTCTCTCTAACACAATGACAACACTCGAACAGTGCAAATTTGTAAATTTTCACAAATCTAAACCTGTTCACAAGCGACAAGTGAAAAGCACATAAGTAGTAGTGCTTTAATAGATATACTTGACAGTTTCTTAATTAAAAAAAATAACATAAAACCGAAGCTTTTTATATCAGTGAGTTATTTTGATTGAATGGCCGATATCCGATATTTAACTTTATCGCTAATATCAGCCGATACCGATACCATGCCGATAATATCGTGCATACAATGTGTGCTGTTTCTAAATTACGAAATCAAACTCTGAGTTTTGATAGAACAAAACACTCTTAACTAACCCATCCATAAAGCCTGTGTAGTCAGGTTTTTTTGTGTGTCTTGTGCCATCACTTCCCTTTTTTAACACATTTAGTCATTGTTTTGGTGAGACGCACAGAGAACAGTGCGCCACAGTTTTTAGACTGAGATTTTTCACGTTACTTTTTCTTTCTTATTTTTCACAGATTTGCTGTTTATCTCCTTGTGTTTTAATTCAACCAAATAATAATAATAATAATGTTTTGGACTCTGAGAACCTTTCACCCAGTTCTGCATTTTTTTAACTAATGTCTTCAATTTCTTCATTAGTGAAATGTCATTACCGTGTTGCACATGCTCGGCTGAGTCTGAGCCGTGCTGTGTTGCTGCAGCGGTGAATCCCAGTCTAACCAACGTTTCAGCTCTGGATTGTTTTATTTGACAA